TGCCACAGCAGCACTGCCGGGGAACCCCTGCCCACACCCTACCTTCCCCTCCTGCTCCCGCAGCTCTGACACTTCTGTCTGCATGTAGAACTTCACCCTGTTGCTCTCGAACATCTGGAAGGGGGACAAGGGACAGAGTAGGGGACATCAGGACCCTGAACCACCCCCAGTCCTGGTGTCCCTGTGCCCCCAGCACTGCCCTGTCCATCCCCTGTGCTCGCCTTGACCCGTGCTGCAAAGAGAGTTGGCACCCCCACCCCTGCAACACAAGTCCAGAAGAAGGTGATCTACAGCACATGGACCATGAGAGGGAAGACACAGCCCGCTCTGTCTACTGACTGCCGCCATCACAGCTTCGTCAATAAACGTTAATTAATTAGTGCAATAAGTGATACAAGCAGAACACACTCTGTTACCAACCCTCCCCTCCAGATGGAAAAGAGAGGTCACCTTCATGACAGCACGGCCAACCCTCTCCCCAAAGAACTTCTTGAAGGGGACTTCCTCCAGCTCCACCACGGACACCGAGTGGGCCCTCTCCGCGAGGTAGGCAGCCACCTCCATCCCTGGGGAATGGAAGCAGGTCTGAGTGGCTGTGGGAACCACCCCGGCACTGTCCTGCATCCCTGGAACTGGCTGCAGCAGAGGAGCTGCCTCACCCACACTGACTGGGAAGGTTGGAGCTGCGCTACTGGGAGAACTGGGGAGGCACTAGACCTGGTCATGCAAAGGGCCACACCAATTCGGGTATTCTTCAATGTAGATTTTGAAGATCAAAGGGAGGAATTGGTCATGATGAAGCCCCAAAGTGCCCTGGTGTAGTGGGTTTCTATGGTTAGGTTTGGTAGCAGTGGGGCTACAGGGGTGGCTTCTGTCAGAAGCTGCTAGAAGCTTCCCCTGTCCATGGTGAAGCCAATGCCAGCCAACTCCAGGACGGGCTTCCTGCCGCTGGTCAAGGCCAAACCAATCAGGAGTGACAGTAACACCTCTGGGATAACATATTTAAGAACAGAAAGCTATTGCACAGAAAGAATTCCAGCCAGGGAAGAGTGGAGTGAGAACATGGGAACAGCAATGCAGACCCCAAGGGCAGTGCAGAAGGAGGGGCAGGAGATGCTCCAGGCGCCGGAGCTGTGGCCCCTGAAGCCCGTGGTGCAGAGCAGGTGGGGCAGCTGTGCCCCTGCAGCCCCTGGGGGAGCATCGGGGTGCAGAGACCCCCCTGCAGCCCCTGGAGGAGCCCACGCTGGAGCAGGTGGATGCAGGAAGGAGGCTGTGACCCCATGGGAGGCCCAGGACGGAGCAGGGTCCTGGCAGGGACCTGCAGCCTGTGGAGAGGGAAGCCCACACTAGAGCAGCTTTTCCTGGGTAGGACTTCTGGCCCCTGTGGGGGACCCACGCCAGTACAGCTCATCCATGAAGGACTGCACCCCATGGAGAAGTGACCCACGGGACAGCAGTTTGGGAAGAACTGTTGCCTGAGGGATGGACTCACACTGGAGACATTCCATCAGGGACTGTGTCCCGTGGGAGGGACACCACAGGAAGCAGGGAAAGGACTACAACCCCTCTCCCTGAGCAGCAGCAGAAACAACAACTGACCATAACCCCCATTCCAATCTTCCTGAGCCATTGTGGGGGGAGGAGGGAGAACATGGAAGGAAGAAGGGGTGGGGGAAAGGTGTTTTTTAAGATTATTTTACTTCTCACTCTTTTGCTCTGACCCTGTTAGTAATAAATTCAATTAATATCCCCACTTTGAGTCTGTTTTGCCCATGATGGTGATCAGAGTGACATCTCCCAGCTCTTAACTCATGAATCCTTTGCTGTTTTTTTTTCTCTCCTCTGTCCGGTTGCAGAAGGGAGTGAAAGAGTGGCTGTACCTGGCACCCAGCCAGGGTCAACCCTCTACACCTGGGAAGCCATAGCACATGGAACAATGGACCTCAACCAATAGAGGCCTTCCTCCTACAGCTGGGACTCTCAGCTGCAGTCTGAAAAAACCTCTTGGGAGTCACTGTTTTCTCTGATCAGAATGGGAGAATTTTACTGCTAGGAGTTGCATGGGAACCTCCACCAAGACATTTTCTATCTATGGGGTTTTTTTATGGAAATGAATCTTTTCGAACCCACCTGAGCAGTACTACTGGCCTTGCCATGTGCTTTTCAGTCTGGGACAGCAACATCTGTGCCTATGCAAACCCAGCCTCTTCAGAAAATCAATTTCTTCAGCAAGGAAATGTCTTTACATGCACCCGGGGCTGGAGGTTGGACTACCCCAGGTTCAGTTTGGGAGGGGGGGTTACCACTAACTGGGCAGTGACAAACTGGGCAAGGGTTTGGGACCATCTGCAGGAAAAGGTTGGAGAGCTGGGAAGCACACACCGCCTGCGCGAGCACTCACCCAGGAAGGATGCGCCCACGATAACCACGTTCTTGCTTGTGGCCAGCTTTACCACACGGTTGGCATCTTCGGGTGTCCGGATGTTGAAAACATTTTCCATCTCCTTGCCTTTGCAACTGAGAGCTTTGGGCCTGAAAAACACTGAGGGTGCTACAACTGCTTTTCTCGACCCCATGGTGGCTGCAGTCCCCAATCAGGACAGCAGGCACCCCTTCTGGGGCTCCAGCAGCATCCCAGACTCTCCTTTTTTCACCTTTCTCTGGGTCGGAGACATAACACGGAATAACACAAATGCTGGTGGACAACGGTCGAGCAGGGGATGCTGGGCAGCCACCCCAGACCCCACTGTGTACCCAGGGGAGCACCTTCCTGGGGCAGGAACAGCACAGGACAGGCCCACCTTTACAAACCTGTGCTAAACCACTGCCATGTCCTAAAATTTTCAGAAGCTTAATAAGACACAGAAAACTCACTCTGTCCTCCAGCAGTGCTTTGGAGCCAGATATTGAAAGTTTGATAAGGCTCTGAAGATGCAGGCTCCACTCTCCATTCCTGTGGGCACATTGCTGATGCTGTTATCAGCTTAATCGTGCCCTCCCCAGACACTTACTGGAACCTATCTATTTTTAAATATCTGACCCCTGCCTGACTCACATCTGGAAATGGGACAGATGATCCTAAAAAATTTAGGTACCTTAAAAAACATTTACCCAGTGTACCTGCAGCTTGTGTATGAGGATTTTGAAATTATTGCCAAAGGCTTAACCCTCTTTTGAACCTAATTCAGTTTCTGGTGTACATGGCATTTTGGCTGCAGCACTGTACACCCCAACGCCACCCATTCACACCTAGTGGGGCTGTTGCTGTGACTGGCAGCACACTGGCTTTCAATGTGAGTCCCTGTTCTGGCTGTTCTGCAGCATCCCTTCCTCAGATGATAAATTATGCAGGGACTGCATTTCTCGTTCTTTGTTTTACGGCTTGGTATAAGGAGCACAAGGAAGGACAGCCAGGATGCCTTATTTTCACCTTGAATTGCCAATTTTGACAAACCTCCTATTGAAAACAAACTGACCTGCTACTTTCAGGGTGCAAGGGACAATGCCAGTCTGGGGCGATGCCTGGCATCCCAGCACATCAATACCACCTTTCCTATGGCTGGACAAGGTTCAGTCCTGAAAACTCTCATGCTGGGGGCAAGGCTCCCAAAGCTGTTAGGCTTGGGCAGCAGCAACACCTTATTAGGGCTGCAACAGTGAAGTGTTAAATTTAATTGCTGAGAAAGATCTTAAAGGTTGGCAGGAAATGAAAGATGAAATTCAGAGGGATGTTAGGGTTGAGTGTTATTGAAGAGTAAAAAGAGCAACATGGCAAAAATTACCTCTAAAAAAAAATAGAATACTTCCACTTTGGATGGTTTTGTTAAAGAAAATATGTTCAAGGTCCTAGGGCCACCATCCCTGGAAGTGTTCAAGGACAGGCTGGATGGGGCTTGGAGCAACCTGGTCTTGTGGAAGGTGTCCCTGCCCATGGCAGGGGGTTGGAACCAGATGAGCTTTAAGTTGCCTTCCAAGCCAAACCATTCTCTGATTCTATAATATTATAAAATATGATGTCTATATATATATATGAAATAGACAGATGATGATATATAGATATAGATATATAGATATAGATGTAGATGCAGATACATACAGATATATCCAACATCTTTGGTGTTCCTTGACTTTTCCACAAACACTCTTGTAAACAAATTCAGTGTCTGAATTCACCTGCCATATTTCACTCCTTATCCCCAGGCACAATCTCTTCACATTCTCAGATAAAACAGTTTCTCTTGATCTTTAAGATTTTTGTCTGTAGCTTACATGTTTCCAGTCGCTATCAGCAGCTTGTTGTATTCCATCTTAAACCCATCTTTGAACACGGCTATCTTGCTCTTGATATCCACAGCCGCAACCTGAAATCATTCTTAAATAATGTTAAGGGATGAAATCCCAGACGTTCACCGAGCTCCCAGCCCAATCAATTCATCTGTCCGGTTTTAGTCCTCTATGTTAGTTTATTAGTTTTAGTTGATTAGTTAGTTGGGTTTAGTCTGTTTGTTTTAGTCCCCCCAGGCCACAGCTTGGCCAATCCAGACCTTAAATATTCCTCGTTACCTTTTCACAAATCCTTGAAGATCTCCCAGTATAAATAAGATAATGGGGAGAAATGTTTAAGCCACTGTCTCCGCTGCTTGAAGGTTGATTATCCTAATCAGAGGGCAACTGGCCACCCCAGATCCATGTGAGGGTGCTGGCAAATGGCAGGTAAGAAATTATGGCCACACCATAGTCACACCCAGGGTGTCCTTCCCGCCACGGGAGCGTTGCATTAGCTGTGTTTTGAACAACCACAGGCAACCTGTGCTCTAGGGCACAGAACAGGGGGCTGGGGTAGACCCAACATTTATGCAGTGGCATCCAGTGAGCCAAAAACAGAGACACATTCCCTAAATACGACCTTTGCGTACCAGTGCTTGCTGGCGACAGCCTACAGGAACACACAGGACTCTCCTTACCTGCATTTCAGTCAGGACTTCGATGTCATAGGTGCAGAAGAACTCCTTGGGGCGCAGGGCAATCTGCTCAGGGTGGGAATCCATTGACTGCAAAAAAAAAGCCATTTTTCCATCAACTGCTGGGCGTTGAACAGGTGAGTGAAGAAGCCGTTGTTACCAAGAGAAGTCAGTACTAGCCTGAAGTCAGCACTTATGGCACAGGTTAAGGGAGCGGTTCTACAGGCTGGAATTAAAGCCTCTTCAAGTAAAAGTTGTTACAAGAGGCCGATCTGGGCTCTGGTTCCTTCTCTGCTGCCTCGGTGTGGGGCTGGTACTGACCAGTTGAGGCAGTAAGTGCTTCTGAGAGTTGGTAAAGCAGCCATAACTGCAGCTCCTCAAAGCACAAACGGGTTCACAGGAGCCTCATTTTATAAGGGTGATAAAACACTGGCACAGGTTGTCCAGAGAAGCTGTGGCTGCCCCATCCCTGGAAGTGTCCAAGGCCAGGCTGACGGGACTTGGAGCAACCTGGTCTAGTACAAGGTGTCCCTGCCCATGGCAGTGGGATGGACCAGATGACCTTCAGAAGTCCCTTTCAACCCAAACCACTCTATGATTACTTGGAAAACAATCAGTTACCAGGGAAATGGAAGGTAGAAGAGCAATAAGAACATGCAATATTAACATACAAGGACACACTTTCAAAAGCACCCAAGTAACGCTGCACAAGTTCCCTCAAAAGCTGAAGCAGGGCATGGGCCTGTATCTGCTCATCTTCAGCTGTAAGAGGTTCTTGCTCTTCCCAGCCTTCCCTGATCACTGGGGTGAGAGGTACATTATCTTTACATGCAGGGTTGAGCCCAAGTTCATCTGCCCTTCTGACTCTGTGGAGACAAACTCAGACTTAGGCTGAGGACAAGCTGAGCATCAAGTGACCTGCTGGCTGTTCCAGTGTATCCCTCCTTGCCTGCAGCGTACCAGGAACAGTCAAGCCCTGCAATTTATCACACAGCACTGAGCAGCAGCATCTACCTGTGCCAAACAGGCATGACATTTGGCCTTGACCCAGGAGGGATAAGGGATGCAGGAATCAAAGGCTTTCCCATCTGCCCACGGGGATGGATGTGCAAGATCCTTATCCCCAGAGGTGGCTTGGTCAGGGGCTGGGATGAGCCTCTGACTTCAGACAGTGCTCTGCTGAGGAGAGACCTGTATTGAAGAACTCGAGACAGGGGCAGGGTCATACACGTTTTACTGCAAATTCTTTAAATACTGCATGTTTACAGAGAGGAATACCCAACCCCATTGTGCCAGGAAGGGCAACACAGAGCAGTGCACTTTCACCATAGGTTTTGCTGCTGCCTGGTACTCTGGAGATGGCAACAGAGACATGGCAACACACCAGGGAGGTGGTCATGGTCCAAAGCGGAACAGTTCGGCAGGACCTGGGGACAGACTGATAACAGGCTTTCAGCAGGGCAGAGGAAGGGCAGTGCTGCAGTTTCAGGGAGTAAGAAGTCTGCTGCTTACAGCATTGTGCACTCCTCCTGCAGTAACTCTGTACATGATCAGTCCCACTCACAACAGGATTAAGAAAAATCCCATTTTTCTCCTAGCCTGTTCCCAAAAATTCAGCCTTCTCTTCCATGGGTTTTGTGCACCTTCTAAAAGCAACTACAGCCAGAGGTGTTTAGTGGAGAGTTTAACAGATCACGTACAACACCTTTGGCATGTGAAATGTTCTTACTATTTAAGAGAGAGAAGAAAAGCCAGTCTAAGACTCACATGTGGGGATAAGTGTCTGGGAGAGCCGCCTGGCTGGGACAGGGACTCCAAGATTGTCTGAGCTCCCCAGCACAACCTCTGTGACTCTTAGATGCAGGTTTCAGCCAGCTGCTCCTCACCTCAGGTGGGAATTGCCCAAGCACAGAAATAGCCTGAATGCTCCCAAAAAAGCCATGTGCATGTTTGCCTTTCTTGGAAAATCCCTTTTTTTTGCTTCTGGAAGCAGAGTTAGATGCTGTGATTCCAGAGTACCATCCCCCATGGATAAACATTCCTGACATGAAGGTGAACACATAGTCCACCTTATTTTATCTCCAAGCTCCGAGGCCAAATGCTGCTGTCCAATCTGATCTGCTGTCTGACATCAAAGAAGGCTTAGGAATCAGCAGAAAGAAATGTGACTAGAAGATCATCCTACGTCTACAAATTGGAACGCAAAATGGGATTTGTGTCAGAAAAAGTGATGTTTGCACTGCCATCAAGATATCAAGTTGTGATGATGATTGAGAATCATCATAATTATGGCATGGAGCATCCCTGGACAGCAAGAACCATGCACTCATAAAAAAACATGGTAGACAACACCATTTTTCCACATGCCTCATTTCATTGCCTTTAAGATTTTGATGCAGACACACATTAAGAAGATCCACCCAGGTAGAAGCTGGCTAAGACAGCTACTGCTAGACCTGTGAAGAATCATATAAATCCTTGAGTGGCTTGGCTTGGACGGGACATTAAAGCTCACCTTGTTCCAATCTGCAGGGACACCTTCCACTAGCCCAGGTTGCTCCAAGCTCCATCCAACCTGGCCTTGGACACTTGCAGGGATGGGGCAGCCACAGCTTCTCTGGGCAGCCTGTGCCAGGGCCTCACCACCCTCACAGGGATGAGCGCCCTTGTTTCTGTGCTGGAGTACTCATAGTTCAGAGTCTGAACAACTCCTTTTTTGCGTTTCATATTTCAGTCACAAACAGGAAAGAAAATTCAAGGAAAACAGAGAAATTATGAATAAGGAGAGAGAACCATGCTGCTGCAATGAATAACAGTGGGGAAAGGTCCTGGAGCAAATCTTAAAACTGGGGAGGAATATGGCATACTCAGAGTGATACAAACCTTACTGAGCTTTGGTCTGTCGTAGGGCAAGTGTCTGTCCATTGTGCACATCACAATCCGGTCAGAGAAACCTTCCTGGCGCAAGGTCTCTGCACAGACCAGCCCAGCTGCCCCTAAGGGAGAAGGAGACCAATGACAGCCATGTGTATGGGGCACTGGCAGATCTGAGCCCTTTACTGCTAAACCTGCCAGGGCTGAGTCCAAAAACACCATCTCCACCAGCCCTGGCCTCACTTCCCTGCCCTTCCTAAGTTGAACAGCTCACACAGGAAGCTGGTCAGGGCGGATGCACCAGGCAAGACAAGGGACCCTCTGTCTAAGAAGTGTGCCATTAATCCTCTTGTCTGTCCCTCAAGTGTCACAAAACCACAAAGACCACACCTGAGGAGTGCTGCTAATGCCTACACACCTCTCACAAGCTCCAGGGCAGAAGTAGTAGCTCAGACCCTTGGACTTCTTTAGTCGGGGAAGGGTCTGCACACCCAGCTCCTGGTAAATTTATGGCCAAGCCTGGAGGGCAGAGAGCCCTCCCTTCTCCACAGCCAAAGTGTTGGTTGTGTGACTCACTGTAGAGCATTTCCCATGCTATTTCTTTAAGGGTTTTTTGTTTGCTTGTTTCAATCACAGAAAAAAAAGGGCTAAATCAAACAAAGAGCTTCCTCGGGGTGTGCTGTTCCCCTGCATCCAGGCAGCCTGATGGGAACATCCCTTCTTCCTTGGCCTAATTGTGAGACTGGAGAGCTCAGGTGAGAAGTCTTGAGTCTCTTCTCAGCCAAGGAAGCCTTGCTTGATAATAAGTGTTTCTAGGGACATGGTTTCTGTAACACCAAAGAGAGAAGATGGACCTGGACAGTATCATGGTTTGGTCCCTCAACAAGAAGCTCCCAATGATGGAGGCAGGGGACAGTAGAAGAAGAGACAGGTGGGTGGACATCCTGTGCATGCAGCCAGGAGCAAGCTGAGACAGAGCTGATGCTGCACTGACGCCAGGATGACCCTCACATGAGCAAGGGGCTGCAGTCGATTGCCCTCAGCTCTGCTGGGCATGGCTGGATCTTGGTCCTTGCTGTAGGGCTGGATGGCATTCTCTTACCAACACTCCCCACAACCCTAGATTTGAAATCACCTCTCCCATTCACCAAAACAGACTTTGGTCTTTAACAGACCTGTAAATTTAGCTGGTAAAGCCTGAGAAAGTTCCTTCAGCAGTGGCTAATGTTGCCTGTGGAGTGACTTCACTGAGATTGTGATGACTGTCCAGTCCTGCCACACGCCAGGACATTCCAGCTGACCTCAGGGAGCAGCATATACTTTACACCCCAGCTTTCAGGCAACAAGGGCACAAGGAAGGGAAAAATGTCACCCAGCAGCAACAGAAAAGCCAGTTAGGCTGGTTTTCCCCTTTGCTCAGGCTGTGAGATGCAACTTAGATGATCCCAATTTCTACAGCTTGGATCTGGTGACCTGGGGGCTATAATCCATTAAGAACAACACATGTGCCAGGAGCAGCCATTCCCTCACAGCCCCAGGTCCAGCACCCTCCATTTCACCACAACGTGGTCAAGCCTTGGCATCTAATTCAATCCAGAAATTCAGTAGATGGGCTTCACCCCATCAGGCTTTCTAAAAAAATGGCAATACACAAATGAAGATGGAACAAGAGAAAATAAAAAACAGATTGGCAGCTTTGCTATTTTGGCAGGGATTTGATATTTGTTGACAAGGTGGAAAAATTTATCTTCAGAGAAGCACCCTGAGGTGAGAACTTTGGAGCTGTAATCAGATGAGACAGTGATGTACAAGGTCCAAGAGAAAAAAGTGTATCCACATCACAGGGACACCTGAGAGGACTTTACACTCATTAGGTGTGGAAATCTGGGGTTGCTGATGTACTTGGGAAGGGTGTAGCAGGAAGAGGGTTCAGGGTACCCGCTCCAAAGGACAGCAACAAAGCTCCACAGATGGGAGCACAGGGCACCTTTGGATCATTAGCATGTAGGACAAAAAGGCTCAGGAAGACCCTCTAGTCTGACCCTTTGCACAGGAGGGACGCAGGAGGGGGTGATACAGCACACAGACACTCTGCTCCCTGCACCCCTGCTGGGAAGGAGACACACATGGTGGTCCCAGCACATGCCATCCTTACCTGCACCGATGATCAGCACGTTGGTACTGCTCAGGTTGTAGTTGCTCAAGGAGATGCACTTTGCCATCATCTTTGTCCTCTTCTGTGTCTGAAGAGCCTGTGCCACCACCAAAAAGGAAAGCCATTATCTTTACTCAACATTAACCTGGGCAGGCAGGCAGGGATGGGGACAACTGCAGTAGTGTCATAAACCAGCTTGGATAGGAAGGGAACAACTGGGTCCTTGTACTGAACAAGGACTCAAACCCCTGCTCATCCAAATACCATTCCAATGTCCAGTGTACTACCCTTTACAAGTTACTAAATTAAAATAAATCCACCATCTTCTGCAAATCCATCCAATCCGTCTCTGAAAGGGCAGGTGAACTCTCACCCCACAGAGCTGGGAGGAGAGGGGGAATAGAAAAAGCAGTCCAGGTGTGTTCTTGTGCAGTTCTGCACCAACAGATGAAGTGAGAATGAAGAAGTTCTATCAGGAATTTTATCCTGCACCTGAGCAGAGCTTGTATACCTGATATCCAAAGCTAATGGACTTGTCCAATCCCCCAGAACACACCCATGGACCTGTTCCACCACAGTCCTGCTGCACAGACCAACTGTCCCCAACCATCGGAGGCCAAAATCCATTCCTGGTCGAGGGAATAGTCTCAGTCTCCCTCATCACATCCTTAAATCAGTTGAAGTGCTACCATTCAGGTGACATCTCTGGATCTAAACCAAGTGCTGTAAGGGTCCATCAGGCTCTGAGCCACTGGATTTGCACATATATACATGCAAATGAGCACCAAAAGAAGGCTTTTCATGGAAAGAAAGATTGCAGTGGCCTGAATGGGCTTCATTCTGCATCCTGTCAGGGGATGAGAGCCCTCTCTGCCCACACACCAGATTCCTCCCTAGCAGGAGCTGATGTCTGGGCTCAAGAGGGAGCACAAGTGGCCTTTGGCATCACTATGCCACATTCAGACAAGGCCCAAAGGCTGGTGGAAGAGGCCTGTTTCCATGGGCAAACTAAATTAAAAGTTGCTCTGAGCTTAAGGAAACATAGGACAAGCTCAGGACAAACACCTGAAAGATCAGAAACCTTCAGTTCACCCATGCTAGATACTCACACATCCCTCTGCCCAGGCATGGCTTTCCTGCCACAGGACCAAAGGAAAAGCATTTCCCCCACCCCCATGCACATAGAGCAAAACCCAAAAGCATCGGCCTTGGTTTTGGGATGTCAGTGGCCCATTACCTGCTTGCTTGCTCGGATGTACACCTTCTCCTTCTCAATCTTCACCTGAGGGTGACAGAACAGCAGCAGTTTGCAGGACAGTGAGGGCTCCCTCTGGGCAACAGCTAACAAATGGAGCAGCAATGGCAGCAGGTTGCCTGCAAGAGCAGCTCAGGCCATGGCAGGGCTCATCCCAGCTCAGGGCTGTGGGATGTCTCCTGTTTCGTACCAACCACGCACTGACGCTCAGTGTACAACTTAATTTCTATCCCAGGCTTACTTATGGTTTCTCATTCCCAGCCCACTCCTACTTGAGACTGGGCACCTACTCCCCCAGGGTCGCAGGAGGTGTCTGATGCCCACGGGTGGGTGCAAGGGAGGAAGAAGCTAGGTGAAGGTGCTGCTCTCCACTACCCACACCAGCACATCCTTGGAAAACATTAGCTCCATGCCATAAAGAACATTGCTTATCCCAAAACAAAGAGACATTTTGTGGGTGACACTAATCTGAGTGGTGTGGTTGATGCTCTAGAGGGAAGGGATCCATCCAGTGGGACCTGGGCAGGCAGGAGAAGTGACCCCATGGGAACCTCATGAGGTTCAACACGGCCAAATACTTGCTGCACGTGGGCTGGAGCAATCCACAACATCAACCCAGGCTGGGGGATAAAGGGATCGAGAGTAGCCCTGAGGAGGGCTGGGATTGTTCAGCCTGGAATTGTTCAGCTCTAAGGAGTCCCTTCCAGTGCTTAAAGGAGCTCCAAGAGAGCTGGAGAGGGACTTGGGACAAGGGCCTGGAATGACAGGACAAGGGGGAATGGCTTCTGACTGAGAGCAGGAATATTGGGAAGAAAGTCTTCCCTCTGAGGGTGATGAGGTCCTGGCACAGGTTTCCCAGAGAAGCTGTGGCTGCCCCATCCCTGCAAGTGTCCAAGGCCAGGTTGGATGGAGCTTGGAGCAACCTGGTCTAGTGGAAGGTGTCTCTGCCCATGGCAGGGGGTGGAACAAGATGGTCTTCAATGTCCCTTCCAACCCAAACCATCCTGTGATTCTGTGTTTCCTCTGCTGCTGCAAGGACAAGGGTCTCACCTGGAACCTGGGTAAACTATCCAAGCCAGGAAAGTCCTCAATGTCACCTGTGCCGATGTTGAAGCAAGCTCCATGCCAGGGACAGCGGACTCTTCCTTTGGACAAAACCCCTGCAGGGAACACAGCAGAGTAGGGTTGATGCTGCCCTGCAGATGCCTGCCATTCTCTGGGATGGCACCTCTCCTCCAGGACACATGTCAGCTGATGTGGACCTGGATGGGCAACACTGGACTTCTCTCAACATGCACATTGGACAGGCTCAGCTGTTTGGGACCAACTGGGATCCTATACGAGCAATTCCTTCTAAAATGCCTGGATGGCAACATCCCCCAGGTCTCTGGGCACAGCTCCAAAGTTGTCTGCTCTGCCTGGGATATAGCCCCCATCTCCAACCAGGATGAGGCTGTCATCTCCACAGTCTCGTCATCCTTTTAAGCCCCAGTAGCACCCAGAGGAGGCAGTGACTCAGAGCATCACTGATTTAGAGCATGTGTGTTCCAGAGCAGACTCTGACACAGCAAGGTGCCTGCACACACCTGGAAGGCACAAGCATGCCCAAAGCCATGCGTTCATTTCTCCAGGTATTTGCTCAGAGGCTGCTACCTTGGACTTTAGCTTTCCCTGCTGCAGTGCTGGGGCAGAGCATTGGCTACCATGCGGCCATAGACTGGTATTGAGCTTGTGCCTGAGGCACAGCAGTCCCATGTGTCATCATCACGTGTGGGGATGGAAGGGCAGCCCCTGTACTTACTGCTGCAGCAAATTCTCCAGTGAGATCCCTGTGTGACAGCCAGTCTGAGGAATGTACCCACAGGTCTCTGAAAGGGCAGGTGAACTCTCACCTCCAGGGCAGCATGGGGCTCTTCTGCCCTGCTCAACTCACCCCAGGTGAGGGGCTGAGAGCATGGCTGCTACAGCCAGCACTGCTGCTGGGCCAGTGATGCCCAGAGGACACACAGCACGATGCTCTGCTGCCTTCCCCAGCATCCCACTTCCAGTAAAGAGTCCTCCCAACCTCAGTTTGGGTGATGCACTTCCACA